ATCATAAGGTGGTACCGCACGATCTCCTTTGAGGCGGCGAGTCTCCTGGCCCGAACGCCACCGTGGGATCTGGAGGCGAGAGCCCTTGCGGTTCTGTATCAGTTGAGTCTGTATCAGAGTTGGGTCGGAGTCCTGGGACTAGAGAAATCGATGACCGGAAATCCCAACTGCGCCGCGTTCTCTTAGCGGAGTGGAAGGAACGACTTGGGCAACCGAGCGCCGGGCATGCCGTCATCACGGCTGTAAGACAAGTTATGGAGGATTGGCTCGAGAGGCATCACGGGACCTTCTCATACCGACTGACGCAGGAGATCACTGGGACAGAATGTTTCGGGGATCACATGTGTCTGATCCGCAAGGAGCCAACGCCTGAGTGCCACCACTGCCATGGTCGGACCTTGGACACGGCGCTCCACACGCTGACAGAATGTCCGGCGACTCAGGCGCCGGAGGTCGCAGAACAACCTCCGTCCTCTATAAGCGCAAGCCTGGGGTGATAGGTGAGGCCACCTGTCACCCTTGCAGAAGCAGGCCGGGGTGGCGGCGCGCGCGCCCTTCCGTCAGCACAGAGGGAATATGGGGGTTCCCACACAGGGGGGGTCGTCTACCCCGAGGTACGTCGGGGCATCAGGGATTTCCTTTCTAGCGTACATCTGGTTCCCCGACTACTGGTACCTAAGACGGCGTGCGGTTTCAGTCGGTTCGAGTCCAACATTGGCACCGGTAAGTGGTATCCGAGGGGATTTCCGCACAGGAAAAAAAATAGGGGATGTAAGGATCATTTTATGGACACTTATGGTTAACAAAGCGATATTAGAGGATGCACACCAAACCCAAAAGAACCTAAGCATGGCGTGGATAGACTATCAAAAAGCCTTCGACAGCGTATCGCATGAATGGCTTATAATAATACTTAAGGCCTGTAAATGTCCATCTATCGTAAAAAGGTTTCTTCAGCTAGTTATGCCTTCGTGGAGGGTGATCATGACATCCCGTGGCTCCCAAGATTTAATAACTACTTAACCGATCACCATCAAATGTGGCATTTACCAAGGAGACATAGGGATGAGCTTCGGGTTGGATAAATGTAATGTAATACATATTAGATCAGGCCATAGGAGTAATGGAATAGGAGAAGGCCATATTCTATTAAGTGGAGAAAAGTTTCAACAACAATAGGAGATAGATATAAATATTCAAGAATACATGAATCAGGAATGATAGAACACAGTATAATCAGGGGATCAAATAACGAAAGAATATTTTAAAAGGATTAAAAAGCGGTTAAAATCTCATTTCACGTTCAATAGTAAAAGGTATAAATACATATGCTATTCCGGTGCTACTCTATTCTTTTGGTGTTATTAATTACAAAATTAGTGACCTTAAGAAAATAGATGTCAAAACAAGAAAACTATTAGCAATGAACAAGGCACATCAACAAAAGGCAGAAGTAAAGCGTTGCAAGATGCGGCTTAAAAAGATCGTCCCTCGCTCGCGGCGACGACGAAGCGGCCGCTCGCTATACATGTATAAAAAAAATCAGTTTGTCTGAGAGAAGCGAGAGAGGCTGAGAGAAGTATAAAGTATTAATATTTTGTATACATATAGAATATGGCAAATACACACGTGAATCAACTGCACGGATGGCGTAGTGGTTTAAGTGGTTGCCACACCGCTTTCTACTACGCCGAATGTTGTGGGTTCAAACCCCACATGGGACAACACTTTGTGTGATCCACAAATTGTTGTTCTGAGTCTGGGTGTTCTTTGTGTCCGTTTCATGTATGTTTGTAAAGTCCCCCGCGACACAGGAATATATATTCCTAATGCGGGCGTTGTCTTTTTAAAAGAAAAAAAATAAAAGAAAAAAGAATAAATATATATTATGTCATTAGCCATAATAATTATTATTAAATTATTATTAACAATAATTATTACTATCAGAGTATTATCTAAAACACACATCTACTATATTATATACATTTACACACAGTTACAAATTCTTGACTACAATAGAAATTACACCCTACAGCATTTATCGTTACACATTTTACCACAACGGCGATTACACGCTACTTCGCACACTCTGACGTCGAAAAGACTTGCTTACTTTTTGTAGTCTAGTCGTTGGCAACACGAGTTTATCTTTATTTCTGTGTTTATATTATGAATGTCACTAAACTTTGTGAATAAATGAATATTTTTCTTAACATACACTAAATTTTCAATACCAATTTCTTTAAGCTTATCCCTCAGTGACTGCCGAGATTATAAATTGCGCGAATAGCTCACGAAGATACTCTGCACGTCAGCAGCAACAACTAAATACCGAATGACATTACACTATCAAAATAGCTAAAATACACTAACTAGGCTATCTGTTTCTACATCGGTTAATTGACGAATTTTATAAACTGCGTATGCTGCAGAGCTGAGTCTATACGACAATCCGTCAATGTGAGAGCTCCACTGCAATTTAAAGTTTAGAGTTATACCCAAAAACTTTGTGGTGTCCACAAGATCTAACTCCTTTCCTTTTTTAGAATACTGGTTTTATCTGCTTAACATTAGGTGTAAAAAGTCTAATACATTTAGTTTTTTTCACGTTTAAAAGTAAGTTATTAACGTTGAAGCAGTTCACGACCTTGGAGAGAGTGTTATTGGCATCGTCAGTAACTGATAGCTGTCGTTTCATTTTAAATAAAATTGAAGTGTCATAGCAAATAGCACTATCTCCTGATCATCTTTTATCAAATTAGGTAGGTCATTTATATAAAAGAGAAACAAAAATTAGTCGAGAATTGAGCGCTGCGACCCGCATAGTGACCAGAGACCCAAGGCACCTCTGTTCGTTTCTTTCACTCTCTGAAAGGAATACTGCTTTGGATCTTCTTATCTCATTTTTTTATTCAAAGAAGAGATAAGAAGATCCAGTATTCCTTATTCCATAGTGATGCAATTTCCTGATCAACGTTTCATGAAAAACGCAATCGAATGCCTTAGACAAATGACAAAACACACCCAGCGCATCCCGTTTATCTTCCCAGGCAAATAAAGGCCAAATATACTTTCCAGAAGTTCAACACAAGCATTACTCGTCGAGCGACCGCTTCTGAAGACAAATTGTTTTCTATGTAGAATATTGTTTACATTATAGTGAGTTTGCAGCTGGTCTAGTATTATTTTCTCAAATAATTTACTGAAAGCAGGCAATACTGAAATAGGTTTATAATTTGTAGGATCAGACGTGCTACCCGCCTTAAATAAACGATCTTACTATTCTTCATTAGGTCGGGAAATACACCACCTTCAAGCACTTATTGAAAATTAAAGCCCACTTTGATGCAACTACGCTAATAATTGACTTTGTTATTTGTACAGAATTACCAACAGTCGGCGGTTTTCTTAACACTATGAGCATTGAAGATTTTAACAATATCTCTATCGGTGACACAACTTAATCTAAACTCAGTATTAAAAATGTTAATATTCTCTTTCAATAAAGATTCTGCATTAGTGGGGGGGGGCTAATTTAATGACTCTGTAATCGAAACTGGAATGTCTGTGAAAAAAATTCTAAAGCTGTGGCAACGTCTAAATCAGATTTAATTTCTTTATTCAAATTAAAAGGCTGTAATTTTTACATTTGTTCTTTGCTTTTCCAGTTTCGGCATTAATTATTTCCCAATTCATTCTAATTTTATTTGAACTATTACTAATTTAAGATTTTAAGTAATTAACCTTTGTGAAATGACATATTTTTTTAAATAAATTGGAATATTGTTTAACATATTCACGAAATTCCATATTAGTTTTATAATTTCGTTCTTCATAAAGCTCATAAAGCCTTGTTCTACTTTAAATATTTCTACCGTACCCATTCACTGAAGGTTGTAGCACCTTTAACTGATAACTTCTTAGGAATAAAAGTTGATTCAAATTCTGAAAAATACATGTTAAAAAAAGCATTATATAATTGATTAGGATCATCATTATGACAAGTTTACGGAGCAGTTTATTTATTTGTATAAGGGTCTACTTTTTTTTTCTTAACCTTTTGGACCAACGTCTGTAGAATACTTTATTTCCAAACGAAAAACCTGCTGAGTTGTCATCTATTTACTTCAAAGAATTGTCAAACTGTTAGGAATGGGCAACTGAAAAAAAATATCGATATCTACTGGATGGATGATTTGAATATTGTGATTATTATTAATTTGATTTGATTAATTATTATTAATCAAAATTAGCAGAATGTAAACGAAAAATAAAATGATGATTAACTTCTAGGTACATGGTGAAGTTGGTTGTATTACCTTTTCTTTTGTATTACTTGTTACACAAATAGCAAAGAGTGACAATAGCATGTTGGAAATCACCTCCCTAAAATAAGAGGACTTTAGAGAAGCTTTAGTTCACTTGTGTCAACTACAGAATTAGCACTATTAAATTACCGGTAATTGAACTATTAAATCAACCCAGCATAGGACTATAAGTGTACATTAATTTATTGAAAATATGGAAATGTATTCACTTTTAAAGTATAGATTTACCTACTGATTATAAAAATAAATAAACAAATCATGATTTCAAGATATGGCAGTTAAAGTTTAAAGAACAACATCTAGATTTGGTGTAATACAGTGAAAAAGTGATATTACCAAATTTTTTCATAAACATTGTTTAGATGTTTGGTATTCAACATATCATAAGAGCAATTTTTTTTTTAAATCGATGTTATATCAGAGCTAGAAGTTACATTTACAAGCTTAAAATGCGTTCAAAAATACAATGAAACTGACACGAGTTATAATAGTTGAAACAAATATATTTAACATCGACATTTCGAAATAAATAATGTCCCCAGCATATATCGATATTTTAAAAGAAAAAAAAACATTTCGAGATATCGATATTTTCTCATCCCTACAAACTGTCACCAAACAATTTAGTTTTTCAGCATTTTAAAATTGGTTAATCATTTATTGATAATAGAAATGGTAAGATTTTGTAAAACTTAAATATATTTACTATTAAGTATAAAATTTCTAGTTAGATAACTTATTTGATAACCTTGTTTCAGAGTGCAATATTTAATTTTCAAAGTTTGCTATCTGTAATACTACTCTTAATATGCACCTGTGCTTACCTGAGATCATTTTTCCCTAGTATTATGGATCGTAATAAGACAGGGTAAGCATTCATTGTTTTATATGTGACAGGAATAGTGTGTTAACATATCTGGATATAACCAAAACCTGGTAAATAATCAGAGGCTGCAGAGGACTATCGTTTCTATTCTTTTTATTCCAATACATTTAGGATAATGTCTCGTAATATTAAATTAATGTCTTGTGTAACTTACTTATAATATTTTGTGCCTCTTAAATAATATTGCAATGTCTAACATCTATGTTATCAAGTGATGAATTTTTATTTCTCTATAGCCTGTTTGATATTGGAAAAGCAATCACTTTGATTTACAGAAGAAGTCTAAATGTAAAAAAGAAACTTGGTTATGTATTTGCTTTTTAATGTCTTAGGTTGGCAGGTTTGTTATGCAGACAGACATACTGCCACTCGCAAACTAAGGCATAGTCACTTTAATACCCTCAGAACCATAGTCAACAAAGATGATCAGTACTTGTCCTAGCATTACTGTTTGAAGCTACTATATGTATAACATAGTTCCTACTGCTTATAAGATGGTATCAGTCTCTAAAAATTATGAGAGCATATGAAAAAGAAATATTGCTATATTACATTTATTGCTCTCCATCTTAGGTTATGATATTGTACATAAAAGTTACAATTATTGTACTGCCTGTAGGTGTTACTTGCAAAAATTGTACAATGCCCTTCGCATACAATATAATGATGCGATGGTGTTGATGGGACTGCCCCAGTATTGCAGCACATCAGGGATGTTAGCTGAGGCTTGTGTGGAATGTTTTTATACCACAAAGCATAAGAGATCATCCATGGTGCACTGTGTGCAGGACAGCCCAACAGCATTTGTCGTTGCAGTGTATATGTCAACCGCTGTAGCAGGCTTTCTACCTGTATATAAAATATAACTTCTTTAACATATCATTTTTTTTCTATATTTGCAGTTTCCTTGGAACTTTTTGGAAATGTGCTCGAATTGGTGAAAGAAAATCTCCATATGTCGCCATCAGTTGTGTGATAATGGCATTTAGTATATTATTCCTTACATAAATATGTTATTTCTACTATATTATCTGTAAACTATTTTATAATATTTGTAAATAAAATACAATTTTATAAAACTTAGTTGATGTATTTTTTTAATTAAAAATGACTTCATGCACAAATATATATTTTTTATTTATTTATTTGGAAACTTTAACAGCTATGTTACATATATGGGTGAAGTTAAACATTGCAATAGACTCTTAGCCAATTATTAAGTTTCCCAATGGATTCTTAGCCAATTATTAATTGTGTGCACCACTCAAAAAACATCAAAGCAATGTTGTGGTATATTTAATGATGCCATTGTATCTATCTGTAAATTGCAAAAGAGTGGCCATTAGCTTCGGAGAGGTTCACTCTGCATTCTCTAACGTATATATCATGTAGTACTCTCCGTGATATATACGTTAGAGAATGCAGAGTGAACCTATATCTCTACGTAACGCTAGCATCGAACGTATCTTTTGCTACCACTTGGAGAAGCTGGCACTTGGGTGCTCTTGCATAGATATGAGAACAGTATTCTATTTGCGGCCGGACTTGCGTCTTATAGAGTTGGAGGCGGTGGCCCAGAGTGAAATACTGCTTCGATCTGTTCAGCACACCCAGCTTCCTTGAGGTTTATTTGACCTTACCCTCTAAGTGGCCCCGAAGCTGGAAAGTTACGGTGAAAGAGCAGTTCTGTCTTCTTTGGGTTGAAATGGACTAGATCCAGTGGACCGCAATCAGAAACCTCCGCTAAGGAAGTTTCAATGTGCCACCATAAAGGCATTCCAAAAGATCATTATCGGGTGGGTGAGATTAGTGCGGAATCCTATGTTCGAACTGACATTGGTGCTTTCCGGGCACGGCTGCTACGGTATCTATACCTAATAGTAGAAGAAACTTGAGTCCCACCTGCTGCCACTGCAGTTGTGCTGATATTTTTTTTTAATAAAACACTGAATATTTTTGTGTTTTTATTTTTATACGTGTCTGGTTTCTAAAAATAGAAAATGCTAAGGGATAGAATATAAAGAGATTACAAAACAGTCACAAAATCTAATACTAATCATTATAATATACCTTGTAATAATTTTTCATAATTCAGTAGCTGTAATGTAAATAAATGCCTTGAAATTATGTAACAAATGAATTTAATGCTAAAAATATTGTAGCAGTGTGCAAGCAACAGCCAAGTGATATGCAGATATTAACGAGTGCAATCACTTTACCACCTGTGCTTTATAATATTGTGCATAATAAACACTGCATTGAAATACGAAACTAACAATATATGAACATTCATAATTAATTTTTCAAATTACAAATAATCATAGTAATAAATTTATGAAAAATGCTTTCATACATAAATATGTCTATCGGTACTAAGATATTGCTATTCCAATAAGTTTGTCTTTTAATTCTTCATCAAAATGCATAAAAATGTAATAATAATAATCCAATAAACATAAAGTATTGTAAAACGTTTCAAAATATTAACAATCTCAACTCCTATGCTATGGATAGATATAATCTCTGAACGTCAGTACAATTTTTTTATCAAATGGGCCAAATATTGCAAATTCTTATCACTTTTGTTACAATTTTGTGGAAAATCTAGTGCATAATACTAACATGTCTAATTGGGCTTAATTCAGTCTAAACATTGTCCTATCATAAGCTAAACACTTGAATACAGCGACGACACATTCACTAGTCCTACAAGCTATAACTAAATAAATAAACTTCGATGCATTGATGCGCGTTAAAATACCAACTATTAGTCACTTACAGATTTTAATATACTGGAATTGAAAAGAGGCGAGTTTAGTATTTGGATATAAGACTATTCGTTCCTGTCTTAAAACATGCTTAACATTAATAAATTAATTGATAGTAAGAAGAGTTTCCTCAAACTCAATGTGTAAAGGTATAGACAATGTTTCACGATACAACTCAAAACGGAACTTATACAAACTGTGATGTACAAAGTGAGCACTAGTAAGTACAGATTATATGGCACTAGAAATATGCATTGTCGATCCAACAACACATTCATTGAGCAAGATAGATAGGAGTGTGGAATGAATAGTTTTTCGCTGATTAACCAACTTGTTTCTTGCTTTAATTCTTAAAGGAAAATATGAGTTAAACAAACCAATGGACACGAGGTCTTATTAAGTATCAGAGTAAAATTTCAACAAATTCACAAGAAACAAAAATAACCAAAAAAGTATAATCAAACATTATCACAGAGACTCAATAGTCGAAGTGCACAGCGATAAATTGTAAGTGCAACATTGAAAAACGTTAAATTTTGCAAAAAACACCAGAGTGGCACCACAACTCATCTTATCACATTCATTCACTTAATACATTTTTTGGTGTCTTATACACGATGGTCGAATTTTATCGTACTTAAATTATCTACACCTAGGTACACTACTAAACTGAGTGACTATGCACGTACAAAAACCTTAAACACGCACTAATAAAGCATGAGACTAAAATGGCGGGTACTATAATTTTTCTGGATCTTGCTTAATTCAGTCTAATTATTTCATGATCTTTGGAAAATGAAGGATATCCATTTTAAAGAGGAGAATAATACAAACATATAATCCACAAATATAAAGAACATAAAAAGTTGGCCCATGTGAGAATCTACCATTTATTAGACCGTCACTTTCGCTTTTAACTAAAAATGCGATAGTACTCCGCCATCATAAGTAATTTCTTTATCAGTGCTAGCCATAAAATATTCAGTATTTAGTATAAAATGATCATTAATAATAGATCTAATCATTACGAATTAAAGCATTTTCAGTAAGAGGTATTCTCAGAATTATGATGTACATACTTGATATTACTGCGGACTTACAATCCTTAAAGGATAATATTCTAGTGTAATAAGTTTCATAACGATTGGATGTTTTTATTAACTGACAATTACCTCTCAATAAAAATAAATACTGAATGTCTAAAGATATAAATAGAGCATTTGCTCGCTCACCAATAATTACTCTTATAATTAAAATTAAAACTCAACTTGATTCATACTCAATCCATAAATAAGTTCTACAATATTAGAGAGACGTTCTTACAAACTCTTTTCTGTTATTTTCTCCTCAAATAAAATGATAATATGGAAGTACTTTATAAGGCAATAAATACACACTAAATACGCACTAAAAACGAAAGGTTTTGGCACCAATAAGCTTCAAAACAACATGTGTTAAATCCGTATGTAGTCCACAAAGTATTACAAGAATAAATCTAAAAATGACTATGTATGAACGACTATGGGAAAGACTTATAACTACGCCGGAGAGCAACCTGACAAGTGTTCACCTGTTATTTCCAATTGTCTGATACATCACTGCTTGTATACCCTGAAAACGAAGGATTGCCAATGTTAAAAAAACTCATTTAGTTTCGTATACGTATTGAATATAGTACAATAGAATAAATAATCTTATTTTAGTTAAAAAACTAGACAATAAAATAAAAATTTATGCCAGGTGAATGGCATGGGATGATATTGACAGCCAACTTGCGGAGTATTTATATATTATTGTTTGACACACTCTACCACAAAGCCATTAACCAAAAGTTGAAGTTGAAGTTGTTTGACAGTTTGTGAACTTTTGCCCAAAACATGCAAAGTTTTTACGCATTGAGCTTAATATAAATATTGTGCAAATGGCATGCTGAAAATTTTCAGATACTTTTAATTCGAATATCTAAAAAATATCTATTTTGATAAATGTGTGTGCCACATTTTGCTGAGCATTGTCGCTGAATGGGAATGATGATCACGAACTTTTTCTTCTTCAGCAACATTCTCTTTTTCAAAAAAAATTTGCTGTATCGAAATAAAGTAGAAAATCAATATAAACCGCTAGACTAGTATCATGTTTCTCTAAATGGGTCATTGGATGTCTTTTATTCACTATTGTACCCTGTAGGTGGTGTTACAATTAGATTCAAGGATTTTATTTAAGATTGGTTTTTTTTGATAACTTATTTATACTCATGATGATTACGGTTGTTTAACGTCTGTAGGGTTCGATAACTTAAAATTAAAGTAAAATATAATTTAAAGTATCAAATAATGTCATCATTACTAGACAATTACATCTACTGGAATAGTTACAATAGGAGAATATATATCATACCTGTGTTATTCTTAGTCGTATCCTATCTGATCATCTCTAGATACTTGTGCTTGTGTTTAGTGAGCATCTCTGTGACAGTGACTAGTTTGCGTATAGCCGGCTGAGTCTTGGCCAGCCCTTGTAACTCCGTCAAGTGTGACACACATATGTGGTGGAGGGTCGCTAGCTCCTTAGCTATAAAAAATAAAATATTTTTATATTTTATTTGTTATATAAACACTAAAATTTAATCTCATGTGTAGTTACACTGTATTTTAAGTATTGTAAATAAATTTGGCACCTCTTAAAAGTATTCTGTTAAAGTTAACATAATTTTTTAATACAAATCAATATATTAAAAAACCGAATTTGTCATGTTAGTGGTAAAAGAAAAACTAGAAATTTGTTTCTAATTGCTTGGTGTGTGAAATGCAGTTTTAAGGTTCATGAAAAAAAAATCATCACTGATTTGACTGATTGATATGTTTCCCGTTCAGGTTATTTGAAAATGATAAACATAAATGTCAGTGATGTGTCATCCACATAACTAATAATAATAATAAAAATATTTTTACTGTCACAAAAATGGTTTGCAATATGTAAATCTTATCTATCTACTATTACTTCGAATTAGCACAATACTTAGTAATATATATATATTTAATATTCTCAAACTAACCAATGTTTTGGGAGTATATTTATCAGATAATAATATTTTTTTCGGCAATCTAACACACAACGCCATCTAGTTTCAAACTAAGCACAGCTTGTACTATGAAGGCTAGATTGACTGATAGAATACTTATATACTTTTTTTTTATACATAGAAAACACATCGAAACAAATATTTTCTCAGAACAGCAGTCGCATACGCTATGACTACACTACCGAGGCAATATCACCACATAATGTCTATATTAGTAATAGTTTCGTTTCAACTGTTTTACATTTACACATCACAAACTGATAACATTAGCTTACCAATATCAAAATTGTTGTTTGTGTTGGGCGGTGGATTGCCAGGGTCCGGCACGTTACTCAGCTGATCCAAGAACACAACCATACGTTCCTTGTTCTTGAGAATAAACGGGTTAACAACCTCCATATATGGCTCCTGAAATACAAAATAAAACAAGGCGAAAAAAATATAACAAAAACAAAAACAGCAAAGATTTGATGACAACAACACAGTTTATAAAATCATGTTGCATTATGTACTATATCAGGTAATAGTTCACAATAAACTCCAGTAAATAAATAAATAAGTTAGAAGTTTTTTCGACTGTTGATAATTGAGACGTTAAGTAAAAGCGAATGTAAGTAATGTATGGAGGCGTACTTTGGCACCAAACTCTATGAGGTTGGCGAGGTTCTGCAGACACTTGGCCACCATGAGCAGCGAGCGTTGCGCGTGCGGCGGCGGTGGCGCCACCACCAGCCCAAACGCTCGCGGCTCCACCAGCGCCGGGCAGATCAGCCGCAGGAATATGAACCCTGCGCGATTCACATCCATAATCAACTTTGTACTATCTTTGGATAGAGTCAAAAACTCTTATAAATATAATAAGTAAAGCTTTGAAAACAGTACATAAAGTCCCATTTACAGAGCAACCGATTCCAAATCCCAGGCTATATTTCGTATAGATACTGCCAGTGTCACGGAGAAACGAAGCGCAAGCGCTGAATGGTTCATGTATGCTTACGAGAACGGATATTATTGATTTTTCATCAGCAGAATATAAATATTTACATAAATCCAACCAGTAAACTCCAAATGTGAACCCACTTCTAAATGTAAGAAAGGCAGAGAGCAGCAATACATGCGAGCGACCATCGGCTGCAATAGCACAGTGTTGCATAATAATATATTCTATTTGTTGCATTAGTACATTATAACCGGTTTACGAACACGTATTACATTGAATTTACAGGCTTTTAGTCCGAATATGTAACTTCAATAGTGCTTCGCTATTAGGGTTAGCAAGATGCATTTGCAACAAAGCTCGTATCCTCATACATATTTGACTTTTATCCCCGAAAGGGGTAGACAGTAGTTTATTAAACGCATTTAAGTACCACTGACGTAAAGGGCAGCAAGCCTTTTGCCTTTAACTAACACTTTATTCAGGCATTTGACATGTTTATATAAGATTATGAAAGTATAAAGCTGCATATACCTGACACGACTCTGGTCCTTACGAACCGTTCGTTGGGCCACTTGGCTACAGCCGCCCGCTGCAAGCAACCGCACAAATAACGGACAGGCCGGGGACATGCCTCCGGAGATGTGAAAATCGATAATGTTATCTAAAAATAAAAAAGAAAGAAATATATAAGTACTTTTTTTATTAATGATATTTTTTATAAACTATCCATAATGGAACACTTCTTTAATATAGTATTTGTGACGAACAATCTATATATTGTTACGTGAAGAGAATTCTTTGTACGTTTTTTCAATTTTCGCTTTTATTAATTGAATATTTATAAAAAAACATTGATATGTTTTTATAAATATTCAATTAATACCCTATTGTTATGATTAACAATAGGGTAGCTGACTGTATCATAAATTAATAACTATGCCCGCTTCATTAAAACAAATATCACAAAACATCTCGCTAAATATAATTATTGAGCTTTTTATAACTATTACAAATTCCAATAATCATTGAAATATATTCTTCAATTGAGTAGTCTAAAATAGTGACGTAATAAGTTGCTATTTAGTATATTTTTCATACAAAATGGTCGTTTTGACAGATGATATGACTAACTTATTTGAATAAGGGACACCTTAATTTCAAGAGGACAATTTCAAAAGGGCAAGCAACCTGCCCTTTTGAAATTCCATGGCAAAAATAATGACAAGTTTTTACCTGATCCAGGATCATAAGTAGAAATTCCGCATTGTTACAGGCATCGTCAGGTGAGTCCATCTTCGTTGGATTTAGTTCAGCTGATTGTTTCGCATCTATCAATTTTTGGACCGTTTCTGCTATAGCGGCCTGTGGACACAATGATTTTTTGACGAAAAATTTTACAAAGAAAAGAAGAAAGTTTTGGACTATTATAAGTTTGTCTTGTAAAGTGTAGCTTCATGACTTTTAAAAAATCGAATGATAATTTAGTTGCGTTCATAATCATCTTTTTATAGCTTTTTTTTAATAAAAATATTAGTCAAATAATAATTCATTTATTTAATGAAGTAACCAGGACTTACACTAAAATTCTTATTAATATTCTTTTAATTCGTCTAAAGGTGCACATTTTTTTTTTACAAATATTTGTATAAGTACATACAATCCAACCTACTCGACATCACGCGTAGGATGCTGTTAGTGCTGGCTCGAACCCTGTGCATCAGGGATGCACACCTCTTCCACATCGTTGCGTAAAAGCAGTCTAAGTGTGCGTGAGCAAACATCCCCGATGCGCTACAAAATCGAGGCAGCCCCACCAGCATCCTGAACGCATTGTTATATTGTACTCTGAGGACGTTGTACGATTTTTGAGCGACTAGCCCACAGGCTACAGGTGTAGAAAGTGTAGTACAATATGCACGGAACAGTGTGTTTTTCCCGTTACGTGAGCAACGCGCGAACCTGCGGCCAGCATATTCGCTCTTAGAGACAATGCCTTCCGTTCTCGCTCAATATTTGAGCCGTCCCGGAGGTCTGGGTTAACACGTGGCCAAGATATTTAAAGCTATAAACTCTCCGTTAAGTCGTACCGCTAAGGGTCACGGGAAGTACATTGTCGGTTTTTCTACTAACAGCGTCAAACACTATGACCTCCTATTTCTTAGTGTCGTAAATCAAACCGAATCGAACCGTAGATTAAAGTCACAAGTGGCAAAAACAATCAATCGAATCGAAAAAAATTGCGTAGATAACGTTCTCAAAGACGTTCAGTCGTACGACAAGTTATGAATTACTAAGCTTATTTGGATGAAACAGTCCATTTCTATTAAAATTTGATTCGTCCTCGTGACTACGATAGTTGTTGATTTTCATTTTCAAAGAGAATAAAATAAAATCGGTGAACCTGCAGGAAGGGCTTGCAGAGCTCGCGCATGAACTCGTCGACGAGCGCGGTGGCGAGCGAGGCGGCGCGGAACATGGCGCGGTGGTCGTGCTCGCGCGCCACCTCCGCGCTCACCAGCTCGCGCGCCAGCTCCGCGCCGCGCCCGCACTCCGTGAACGCGTGCAGCAGCGCTGGGGGGGCCCCACCATCACATTATATTCTAATACTGGCGGCTACGCGAGCGTGTGTGTCGGTTATCGCGGTAAAAACTAACCTATATTACCCGCTGATAATTTAGATTTCATTTATGAAAGAATTTTTATAATCGGAATAATGGTTTAGGCGTGAAAGCGTAACAAACGAACGAAACTTCACTTTCACAATTATAATGTAGGAATGGCTATAAAAGTTGATTGAAAAAGACGATATTTTACATTTAAGCGAGCAAGCACAGCTAGTGACAGCGTTGGTGTTATATTCATATTAGTCAACATACGGTTTTACTTACTTCATGTGAATGAAATATGGATTTTAAATACATACATACATCTGGAGTCATAGTAATAATATACATTCTTACAAGTAGCCAGTGGTTGTCTATCGGTACGGCAAAGGTCAGATAACGCTTTCACAGCGGGCACTCCTGGTTCCAATAACAATTGTCGCAGCGGGTTGTACTCTTCGCGAGGCATCACTAACTCTTGCATATATCTGTAAAGATATAATGCTTAACTAAGAATACATAAGAATACTTTATAAATAACATGTCGTCGCCGAAAAACTGCAAGAATAACACGGAGTGAAGAAGGAGAGGAAAATATATTATTGATATGATTAACTAAGGATAAAGGTAACTAGTTAAAAAGTAGCAGTAAATCGTTAGAGTAAAAAAAACAAGCATCAAAGGACAACAGCACTGCAAAGAGAAGGAAAACTTGACACAAACCCTATACCAACCCGTCTGCGTTGTATAGTAGGCCAAAACTTTCTTTCTAAGGAGAGGCCTATGTCCAACAGTGGACTACTGAAGGCTGTTGATGAATTATCAGCTAGTCGTAAATATAAATGCGTTTCTCGCAAAATTTCAAAGAGGCAAAACAATTCTTTTACTACAAACAACTTTTAGTCCACTGCTGGATATAGCCCTCTCCTTAGAGAGGAGGTTTTGGTCTACTATACCAAGCTGCACAAAATATGGGCATTCGCACTGCCTATAATAACCCTTTCAGGCATGAGTTTGTCAGTTCCTGTATTTGATTTGCAATAACTGTGTTTAGTGTTTAATTATGATGCTATTACCTAATACGCAGTCTTAAGGAACCCCATTCTCCGATAGGTGTCATGCCGACAAGAGGATACCATTCTTCTATCTCTTCGCCGTTTGCCAGATTCGCTAGTTCTATTGTTAGTTCAGCAACCTGCAATTCGATTCATGTTATTATTATTATTGTCAACATAAAACAAACATTAAATTTCGTTAACGGACTTACCTCAGATTCTTTACCCCTCTTCCCGGTGTTGTGGACAGTTATTGTGAACGAAGTTACATCTGGAGGCACATCACTGTGAATAGAAAAAAAAACAAGAATCAAACTCTTCTTCGTTTTATTAATATCATTAAAAAAATTGCTGAGCCGCAGGAGACGAGTTCCTAGAATATTGAAAGGAACAATGGTAAACGTTCATATGATTCACACTCTAAAATAGTTTAGGAACGATTAAGTAACTTTTATAGCAACAATAGGCTTAAAATGTATTGAAGTCGGTCGCTTAATTTAATGGCAGTAGGTCGAGAAAGAAGCGCACTCACTCAAAAACGAACTCATCATCCCAATGGGGGTCCGGCGATGGCTTCGGCTTGGTGCGTGCGACGGGCGCGGCGCCGAGCGCGAGGCGCAGGTGCGGGCGCGGCGCCAGGCGCGCCGGGAGCCGGTGCGCCGTGAGGCAACGCACGCGGAGCGCGCGCAACCACACCACGCGAGCCACCTTACGTAACACGAATAAATAATATTCATTTGGCAACTACACTCGACGATTTTTAGTCATCAGAGTTCATCAAATTGTAGCAATTTGAAACATATAGCTTAATTTCGAAACGAAGTTTTGTAACTCTTTCCTTCAATTCGAGTGAACGTTTGCTAATATAGAAGTACCATTGTTTCGTCAGATTCATTTTTGTTAAGTAAAGAAAATTTAGTGATTAGTGTTTTTGGTATTATGAGCTCTTTATAAAAAGGCTTTGTTTCAGTTCCTTGTAAAATATTGTTTTAAAGTAAAAATAAAAATGATACAAAATGCTCAAGATTGCCTCAAGTTTAATGAATCTACGATTTGCAATCTGAAATATTTTATGTAAACTATTGGTGTTAACTAGTTCGGTGTCCTCATTTGAGTTTCATGCTTATAACACTTTTGGCACTCATACCCAATCACACTAACGATCAAGACTTAGTCCACGGAGAATAACATAGAGAATAGATATACCTTGGACTGATGTCTCGCCTGCTGCGGCACACAGAGCGGCCTGAGAGCTTCTAGCCAAGCGCGCTCCTCAGCCGCCGAATTGGCAGATAAGAAAGTGTGCGTCGACAAACATGGTAGAGCGCGCTCTACGAGTTGGAAACAAAATTCGCGCTCCCATAGAGACTCGTGAACCTAACAGAAATATATTGTGTCTTTAATCATTTTTGTCAGCAATACCTGTTAAAATTTTATAATTGTTGGCGTGCGTATATGTCGCGAGCAGATCTTAGAGTTGACTTTGAACTAAACATACGAGATATTTTATTTCGACATTAAAAATTTAATTGATCAAGGTAATATATAGTGATTTTTCTTTTCATCAATACAATATTAGACATTAAAATGTTATCTACAATGATTGCAAATTAAACAAAAATCTACAGAATTAGCACGAACCACATCCACTGGGTTATGATACGTGCTTTCAGAGCGCACATCTTTTAAAAACGAAATTTGTACTAGTAGAAACTACTTACCTGATATAGATAGGCACATGACAAATCAATCAAGCCCTTCGGTTTTGTCCTCTTTGGTGAGTCATAAAAATATAAATGCGTATCAGTACCCTCTTGCAACAGCACAAAGTATAACGCCTTCCATTTCTTAGTTACTTTATCCGACTTTTTATTCAAATAGCCTTGGTGCTTGATTCCTTTTGTTTTCTTGAGTCCAATTTGGTCACGACATTCGCGTAATGTCGCATAGATCTTTTCAGCGGCTGCCCCAGTCGTATTCTGTTGTGGTTCTATGACATGCCCTTCTGCAATCAGCTGAACAATGAATTCTAATGAGATTTTTTTAATAATTCGTCTAACCTTATAAATAGGGAGAGAGTCCATATAATTTTACCGGTTGTTTTTCGACGAAAATTGTTCAGTAAACATAGAAAAGAAAAATAAAATACGCTGCGAAAAATGAACTAAAATTGGTAGACATAATATGTACATAATGAAATTAATATAAAAAATATATCTATGGTCACTCAGGATGATGTAATGTTTATAATGTTAACATTTACATCCAAATCTGTTCAACTATTTAAAAGTTATGGTATGAATCCTAAAAACATTACACTCATGTTTTTGCTGTCGTGAAAAAGCCGTTAACGAGATCGATATGAATGTACATACAATAATATATTAGTTGTCACAAGCCAATTCATACATTTATATTTTCCATTCATTTAATGCTACTATATGCACATTCAGTGCTAACTAAATTACTTCTACATAATTATGTTTGGTTCGTACTTACTATTTTTTTGGTTTCCTTTACTAGATAACCGCCTGAAATCGCTTACGTAGGACATCTAAAGTAACTCGAGTTAAGAAGCTAGCTCTTGCGAGTGAATTATGATATCGGTATTGCATATAAATGAACGTCATGTTTTTCATAAAATCATATCATATAAGTTAAGGGAGTCTTACAATACCATAATTAAAAAACTATAAGAGTACAAATATAGTCATAAAATTATATTTTTACGTAAGCTCATTAAACAAGTTTAATGGAAAGTAATAATAAGTACACACCCAAAGTATGTCCTTGAGTTCGAATGACATTCTAGACCTGTACGAACTATTTTTAATTTTGTTTATAAATAAATATACAACAAAGAGACGTGGTACAAAAACGCAATTGTAATGTAACATATGTATCAGCGAAGTGTTTATCTTATCACTAAGTACGTTTGTCTAGCGATAGTACTTATCTGTATGCGTACAAGGTATTTTTTTTTAAATTTAATTATAATCGGCATTGACATTATGAATTAAACTTACCGGCTGTCCTAAGGTATGCCCTTCTACTATCTGTTCCTTCCTGTATCTATTAATAACAGCATCCAGACACTCAAATGTTCGGCCACCCATCAAATACCTGACTCCTTTTTTCTCTATCCTGAACCTCTGGATTTGGTTGTTTATATGGAAGAACAAGGAATAATCTCCGGGCGAGTTATCCGAGGGTCTGACGAGGAAACTCCCGGGACCAGCCTTAACTAACATGTCGACCGCTTCACTTTTAGTGCAGTTAGGGTGGAACCAGGAGAAAACAGTGTTCGGATCAATGGAAGGGTCTAGATCCTCGACTAACTCTCTGAAAATCATTCCTTGTTCCCCAGTTCTGTAAAACAAAAGAAATGACAGGTAGGACGTGACACGTGTTGTATGAGTTTTCAGCAACCAAACATATGTTAAAATACAAATAAATTCTCCAGCCATTTCCTATGAAATTGAGAAAATTCTTGAGTTCATAGGAAATGGCTGGTGAATTTATTCTACGAAGCAATAGCATCTCTACGTTAAATTTATAAATGAAAACTAACCTATGTGCAGTAACCCAGAGCCAGCCATCGCCCATGTCATTATGCAGAAAGAAAATGTCACCCTTTTGGAAGGTGAGCTCATCAGTGTCAGGCATCTTGGTGTACGGTAATATAGCTACTACCCTCTGTAAGTAAATTAAAATATAATAGGTACAGAAAAAATAATGAATTATCAGAAAACCGGGATTTTTGGTGCCTTGACAGGAATTCTTAAAACTTCCTAAACTTACAAAACTAAACTAGTAAAACTTTTACGAAATACATTCGGTAGTAAACTCAAACTCACTCTCTTTATTTCATAAAATTTTCAAAATTGTTTGAAATCGTCTTTTATATAGACTCTTAAAGTCATAGATCAACACACACAAAAGCAACAATCTCTGTTTTGACAAATATGACTCCTTCAAAAGTAATTAAATTTAATGAAACGCCATGGGATTATCACTTTTCCCGGGGCTCTTGGTGAAGTAGTATGGCGGAATTTAACACCGTCTAAAAACACGTGGTTTTGTCACAAATTACTCTGTTGCAAGGCACTCAAGTATGCCCTAGAAAGAAACCCCGAGAATCCTGGCAAATCTTTAAACATTAGGCAGGCAAAAGGCTTTACTACCCTTATGATTTAGGGAGGTGTCAGCAGAACAGTTTTTAATATGTCCATTAATGTATTTTGTCTGTAATGTCCTAACAAATATTGATGATGACCACAAGCTAATATTTCGATTCTTTAAAATATTTCATGTGAAGGGCATTGAAAATAAATCCTAATTGTATTTTTTTTCTAATATTTATACAAAAAATATACAATCATTACCTTTTTATCATTGACGGGTTCTGGTGGAGGAACAGGTTCAACAAGACGTTCCCTTTTAAGCAGATCAGAACAGTGACTGTAGAAACCTACGAGTTCAGTCAGGGAGTCGAACTGACGACCACCGATGTAATAATCGCCGCATACAGCTGTTATTCTAAACATAAATAAGGCTTCTCTTAAGAGGTGCTTATAAAATGACTAGCTATCCGTTTCATCCCTAACATGGATGCAAAAATCTTTGGGTAACTTTTTGCACAACTTCACACATCATTTAAAAACTCATAACATATTTAACCATATTAGAGAGATGCCAATTAATAGGATTTACATAACTCAATTTATTTACTGATATAGAGTTTTTTAACGCAAATGTACGAAAGCGTGGCCGCCCAAAGTAAATTTGGCGGCGCACTGTCGCAAATGAGGTGAAGAGAATCGGCAACGCGATGGAGGACTACTGTGTACGCCCTCTGCCCCATCTAGTAGCCTTAGGATATTACGTTAAGACAGTGTTTAGTCATAGTGATAAAGTTTGCCTTACCTAAAATGGTTAATCCCTGTGCGACCCAGGTAACTCAAAACATAAGAACCGGGTTTTCTATCACTTTCTCGAACTGTAAAGATAATAAACTTTTTAGAGTAATGTTAGTGTAACAATAGTTTCAACTATTAAAGAGAAAATTGAGTAAATAAAAATCAAACAATATAATGAATGTATAGTATGGAAAACATTGGCTTGGACCTAGAGTGAACAAGAGTCCCAATCTTCCAATACAGGCAACGAGAGAGATAGATGCCCGATAGTTCTCTCGGTCTCTGGTTAGCTTAGGCTATCATGAAGTGGGCATTAACCCCTTATGTTCCCCATCCAACCACAGAGCTCGACAAGAAAGATCTCAAGAATAGGGAACTATCTATTATCTATCTTTCTCTTAGCCTATATTGCAAGATTGGGGCTCTTGTTCACTTTATGCTTACCTATATCTCTATATTCAGTACCTACTAAATAATAAGCAAATCTGTTGGACAGAACTTCAGTCAAGGTCTCGTCAGATTTATTTTTTTGGGAGACGGGGCAAACGAGCAGACGATCACCTGATGGAAAGTGACTACCGCCTCCAATAAACGTCTGCAACTCAGGAGTCACAAGCGCGTTGCCGGCCTTTTATTAAGGAATATGCTCTTTTCTTGAAGGTTTGAAGGTCGTATCGGTCCGGAAAAAACCGCAGAGGATAACTTGTTCGACAGATTAGTTGTGCGAGACAAAAAAGTGTCTTAAAAAGCGCACAGTGGTGGAGTGCCAATTATCCAAGTGGCAGGAATGAAAATTTTGCCGTGTGGCAGAAAGTTGCGGCTGGTATTAGTCCAAACGAATCTTTACGTAATGTCAAGGATCGAACCGATCAGAGATCTTTGGGCTATCGACGATTCGAATCACTCTTCGTTGGATGCGGTCCAGAGGGAGAAGCTGTTACTGGGGTATAAAGAGATAAGAACAGTATTCCATATTCAGCTGGACTTGCACCTTATAGAGTTAAAGAAATACTACTTCGATCTGTTCAGCACAGTGAGCTACTTAAAGGCTAATTTAGCCTTACCCTCTAAGTGACCCCGCCACTAGACCTATCTCGATATGTCGAAGCCTAGGATTCCGAAACTGGCTGAGGCAGTTAGGGAGGTGCTCTCAAACCGAGGTGATACCACAAATGTTATCTTCTTTGAGGTGAATGCGTAAAACCTGTCTTTTTAAGAGATTTTAATGTTTTGAAAGTTATTGATTGTATGTTTGTAGTCATTGAATAATTTCGATTTGTCACAATAAATCATCATAATTGTTCAAATAACAAAATGTTCAAATGTTTTACTACTTTCAAAGTTTTACATGTGTTTACACTTTTTATAAATCAACTAAGGTTAGTGAGTAAGTGAAAACAAAATAGATACATTGTTCAAACAAGTTGATTAAGAAACATCATTCTCACAGAAATATCATGGGAATAAATTAATTGGTCTTTGTTCCTTGTATAGTATTTCTTTCTTGACTATCTTGTACATACAAATGTAGCCAAAGTACTTTACACTTCATCAATTTATATGATATTTTACAGTAAAGGAAGACTGGATATAGTGGATATTTAAAAGTTATTGTAGATGTTTTTTTCTTAGAAACATTCTCTTAATATGGTATTTTGTGTCTAAGGTAGAAGGCGTTATATAGAACGATAATTAGGTTATCCCTTAAGTATAATAGTACAGAAAGTTTTATATTGACGATAGGTGACATTTTTTTCTTGTAACATACATTGGTTGGCCAGAATTGACTTTGCATATAACAGGCAAACATATTACAAATAGACGAAAAAATCAAGCAATATTTTTCTTGTCATGTGGGTGAATTAAAGTCTGTCTTCTGCATACAAAATTCTCATCTCTCTCTTTTACTTTTAAAAGAATTTATAAAAAAAAAACTGTACTGTTTTGAGGTTTTCTTGTAACATTTGTTTATGTTGGCATCAAATAATTACATTCTTTTTCTATTTTATCAATATACTTAGTTAACTTACAGGTCAAAAATTAACTTTAGAAGGTAACATGAATAGAATAGTTTTGATAAAGAGACTTCTTGAAAATATATAAAAAGTGTTATGAATTGGAATCATCAATATAAGTTCTTGACATATTATGATCCCTACTACTAATTAGGATCAAAGATTTCACCAACATAATTCATCAAAGTGATTGAACAACTGTGATATTTTAGAGGTTTGTATTTTATTCTTTTTAAAAAAATAAACCACAAAGAAGTACTGACTAAGGCAGTATTAGTTAGTTAGTTAATAAATAAGATTTTAGGTTTTATCTTCTTCCTGTAAATCAGTACACTACACAATACATCATAATATTATAACCATGACATTTCTAAATTTATCTAAAAAATAATATTAATGTATTTGATACTGTTTAAGTTTAAGGGAAAAGAAAAAATACTCAGTAAGTAAACCACTTAGTACAACAGAATTAAGTGCAAATGAGAAATGCTCACCTAGGTAGCTGCCAAGCTTTCCAGCAGCCCAGAGTCTCTCTTCAGATGTGTACCTATCTAATCGCCCATGATACCATTCAGTCTCAGGTGGGGCTAGCACTGCTTGTCTCTCACCTGATACAACAAACATTATACTTACTTGAAGTATATGTAAAAATCATAGACAGTAAATCACAGACAGTGATTTAGTATACCATTAGTACTTGGTCCATCAGCCTCATCTAGCTCTAGATCAGCCGCGAGTTCTGCAATGTCACCACCACCATCTTCCGACTCTGTTGATGGGGAACCCAACTTATCCTTCACAGGGGGGCCAATCGGCGCCCCCATAGCACGAATCAAATCAGCCATCTTATAATACACAAACAATCAAATTTAGAAACACTTCACTTGTACGCTTTAGAATAGAACCAGTGACTCATAGTTTATTCAAGAACAGTGTGATATATTTTTTTTAGAAATTATATCAAACGTGTTTACTAAAGAAAAAATATATGGTGCCCATCACAAGCATATTTCGTTCACTTATACCAGTGTAGATGATACGAACAGTATTTTATAAAGAAAATTAGAAACGTATATTCTTCTGTACATAAAGCAGTTTCTGTTTTTTTCAACAAGGGAGAAAATTATCCTTTTATTATTTTTACAGTGCTCAATACGCCCGCGTCACAGATTAACAATAAATAGAAATCAAACTGTTGACAACTTGTTTCATAAAATTGCCAATTTATAAACTGTTGAAAACAGTAATGCTGAATGTCTACCAGAAGCTCATGACCAGGGAAATAAGATTTTAAAGAAACACTGATAGTGTTCTGTTCTATATCTGAATATTATTTAATTTCACTTTATTTACTATAATAGTTGTGCCCTCCCTTTAACACGCGATAATTATAGATAAGAACATACATGCATCATCCCAAAAGCTTTACTCAGAATTGGAAAATTATCGTTATTACCGTAGTTAACACGTAGTTGTTTTTGTGTTTTATGTGTGAGTTATGATTAGTTAAACAACACAAATATTTGATAAGTTGGCACGAAGTGTGGACGGCATCTTTGTAGTTCACTCACATGACAAATATTTAGGCAAAGACTAAGACAACATAGCCGCATAACAAATAACACAAAATGAAGTGTGGTTCTGCCATTATAAAACACATAAATCTTTGAAGGCATATCTAAATACATATTATATAGGCTCGTCAAACGACCGGTTACCGGCTACGTTGTCATGGGTGGATGGACTGTATGAACTATGTTTAGAGACGATGGCCTAGTGGTTAAGGCATTGGACTTGCGATCAAAAGGTCGTGGGTTCGAATCCTGACCAGTACACTACAGACGTGTAACCACTTCTTTTTTTTTTTTTTTTTTTTTTTACGTGTGGAAATCCCCTCGGACCGTCACCCCGCCGGGGCTCTCGTTCGGCGGGGCGGTGTGTCGGACTCGAACCGACTAAAACCACACGGTGTGCCCTCTTTGCGCTTTCAGTTTAGGAGGGGTCCAGGTAGCTATCTCCTTCTGGACCCCTCCCAGCGCCGGCCCGCTCCTGATGCGGGCTCCGTCTCAGTTGACCCTCTCTTTAGGCGACGTCCGGCACACGCGGACGCCGCCCCCTCGCGGCTGCCCAACTAATGCGGGTGGAGGGGAGAACCCATCCCGTCCACCCGCGGCCACACTCAGGGCGGCATGAGGCGTACGCGTACAGGTACTTTCCGAAGCAACCGTGCCCGGAAAGCACCTGCGTCAGCCGGAAGGAAAGGGTCCCGTGCTGCCGCCCTGCCCACTCAGCGATGACCGGCTGGAGAGCCTCCACGGCGGCGAAGCCAGCGCGTGGAGTCTCCAACCGGAGCGACCATCTGACCATGGTGGCTCGGCGAGCGGCTTCGCGCCACTCGCGCACGTCTTCGGGCGGAGGGCGAAATCCGCTCTCCGCCCGGAAGTCAGCCACTCGCCGATAAACTTCGGCGAGCACTTCCGCCTCCAAATCCCACGGGGGTGTTCCGGCCAAGGCGCAAGCCGCCTCGGTGGACACCGTGCGGTATCCGCGTATGGCTCTGACCGCCAATATCCTCTGGGGGCGCCAGAGGCGCGCCCTATTCGGGGCGGTCAGAGCCGCCACCCACACCGGTGCACCATAAAGCGCCATGGACCGGACAACCCCCGCGTACAGCCGCCTCGTGGGAACGCTGGCCCCGCCCAAATTGGGCAAAAGTTGCCCTAGGGCGGAGGCAGCGTCCACCAGCTTCGGACCAAGCTGTCGGACGTGTAACCACTCCTAACACAAGCTTACCTGGAGGGGTTAACAGGAATACTAGTAATTTTGGTTGCTAGTAAGCCTTTTAAAAAGAAAAAAGAAATAGACGAGACCTTCTTCAACTTAAAAAACTGTCTCAAAAGGCTACTACTCCATTCATACACAAAAAGAACGAATGTGACGGCTCATTCGTTTAGTTGTCAAAGTTGTGTGTTTCGTTTCGTGATCGTCATAGAAAGAAAATTCAGAATTCATTCAACAGACAAAGACGTTCAGATTGAGATTAATTCGCGTTGACCAAGTTGTTGTCACGATTGTATATTATTGTGTACTTAAAATAATTTATTTCTGCAAGGTGCAATATCTTTGTAAGTTATTTTAATGTTATATTAAACTTATATCTTTATTCTATTTTTCAATGTATTGCAATCTTTTGTGTAAGATGACGCTGTCATTATTTTCCTGGACGCCATTTTGTGCTCTCGAACTTTCTTTGTTCAAATCGATAGCCCTTTACCATATCACTTACTAAATTTAGAGTATTTTCCGTCCTCTTAAATTGACTCCCTTTTATTGTTACAGATCATTATGCAGATTTTTGTGAAAACTTTAACTGGAAAAACCATTACCCTTGAAGTTGAGCCATCCGATACTATCGAAAATGTAAAAGCTAAAATTCAAGACAAAGAAGGCATTCCACCAGATCAGCAGCGACTGATCTTCGCTGGAAAGCAATTAGAAGATGGTCGTACTCTTTCGGATTACAACATTCAAAAGGAATCTACCCTCCATCTTGTATTACGTCTCCGTGGAGGTATGCAAATCTTTGTTAAGACATTAACAGGTAAAACTATAACACTAGAGGTCGAACCTTCTGATACCATTGAAAATGTTAAGGCCAAAATCCAAGACAAAGAAGGTATCCCCCCAGATCAACAGAGATTGATCTTTGCTGGTAAGCAGCTGGAAGATGGCCGTACTCTTTCTGATTATAACATCCAAAAAGAATCTACCCTTCACCTTGTGCTTCGTCTTCGTGGCGGCATGCAGATTTTTGTAAAGACACTCACAGGTAAAACCATCACCCTAGAAGTTGAGCCTTCTGATACAATTGAAAATGTTAAGGCTAAAATTCAAGATAAGGAGGGTATTCCCCCAGACCAACAGCGACTCATCTTTGCTGGTAAACAGTTAGAGGATGGACGCACACTCTCAGATTACAATATCCAGAAAGAGTCAACACTGCACTTGGTCTTACGTCTTCGTGGTGGTATGCAGATCTTTGTGAAAACACTCACAGGTAAAACCATCACCCTAGAGGTTGAGCCCTCAGATACCATTGAGAATGTTAAGGCTAAAATTCAAGACAAAGAGGGTATTCCCCCAGACCAGCAGCGACTGATATTTGCTGGTAAACAGTTGGAGGATGGACGCACACTATCAGATTACAATATCCAGAAAGAGTCAACACTGCACTTGGTCTTACGTCTTCGTGGTGGTATGCAGATCTTCGTAAAGACCCTTACAGGCAAAACCATCACCCTAGAAGTTGAGCCTTCGGACACAATTGAAAATGTAAAGGCTAAAATTCAAGACAAGGAGGGTATTCCACCAGACCAGCAGCGACTGATATTTGCTGGTAAACAGTTGGAGGATGGACGCACACTATCAGATTACAATATTCAAAAGGAGTCTACACTTCACTTGGTCTTACGTCTTCGAGGTGGTATGCAGATCTTCGTAAAGACCCTTACAGGCAAAACCATCACCCTAGAAGTCGAGCCTTCTGACACAATTGAAAATGTGAAGGCAAAAATTCAAGACAAGGAAGGTATCCCCCCAGACCAGCAGCGGCTTATCTTTGCTGGTAAACAGTTGGAAGATGGACGCACACTGTCGGATTACAATATTCAAAAGGAGTCCACTCTTCACTTGGTCTTACGTCTTCGTGGTGGTATGCAGATCTTCGTAAAGACCCTTACAGGCAAAACCATCACCCTAGAAGTTGAGCCTTCAGACACAATTGAAAATGTGAAGGCAAAAATTCAAGACAAGGAAGGTATTCCCCCAGACCAGCAGCGGCTTATCTTTGCTGGTAAACAGTTGGAGGATGGACGCACACTGTCTGATTACAATATTCAAAAGGAGTCCACTCTTCACTTGGTCTTGCGTCTTCGTGGTGGTATGCAGATCTTCGTAAAGACCCTTACAGGCAAAACCATCACCCTAGAAGTTGAGCCTTCAGACACAATTGAAAATGTGAAGGCTAAAATCCAAGACAAGGAGGGTATTCCCCCAGACCAGCAGCGACTTATCTTTGCTGGCAAACAACTTGAAGATGGACGCACTCTTTCAGACTACAACATTCAAAAGGAATCGACGTTGCATTTGGTCCTCCGTTTAAGAGGTGGTATGCAGATTTTTGTTAAGACGCTTACTGGTAAAACGATTACATTAGAAGTTGAACCATCTGATACAATTGAAAATGTTAAAGCCAAAATTCAAGATAAAGAAGGCATCCCGCCTGACCAGCAGCGTCTCATTTTTGCTGGTAAACAGCTTGAAGATGGTCGTACGCTTTCTGATTACAACATACAGAAAGAATCTACTCTTCACTTGGTTCTACGTCTACGTGGTGGCATTTAATATTCTGATTCTATCGCAAGCCATCTCTATTATATTCAATTTAATATATTTCAAAAATATCTGTCCATTCCATACTGTAATCATTTAAAAACTTTGACATAGGAAATATATACTTCTCTTTAACAGTCATCTTTTATTTCTTATTGCTAAACTGTTACAATATAATAAAATTTAAATAAAACTCCAAAACGTGATTTTATTTTAATATTCATATATACAATTGTATACATATATGAATGAGGCCTTTGCCGTAAGGCAAACCGAACCAAGAGACATAATGAAAGTGTAGTTTTAGTTTATAAGTTTTACTTTATTTAATAAACTCTTTTTATATACTTTTATTTCAAAATTGTTACTAAGACACGAAAATATGTAACATGAAATTATTTCGGAAATAAAGGCTTTATTATATACAATTGTAATAATGTGAAGCGGTATTGTTGCAATAGCGATAGTTTTGCCTACAGTAATTGACCTTGAAACAATGCGTAATTACACCTAGGAGTATAGTCGGTGTCACTGACCCTGGCGTGTGCGTTACCCCAGCAAAATAATGTCGAAAATGGTCATTTAAACTTTATAGATAATTAGTTGCTCTCCTTCTGTAATTGTTAGGCACATTTTTAAATTTGTTTCACTTAAACTTTTTTAGTTATTTCAAAAAAACATTTCCTGCTGGAGTAACGTTTGAAACGTTACCGCAGCCAGACATTTTCTTTTTTAATTGTAATATTGAAATAAATTTTAGCTAGATAATTAGTTATCTGGTCTAGGTAAATGTTACAACTTATTTGGTATTTGTATTTTCTTCGGCTGCGAAGTTATTCGAAATCCTGCTGGAGTACCGTTTGTGGGTTTGCTGGATCTCTGAAACGGGTAAGCGGATTGTAAGCATCTTTTGTACATAACTTCTTAAGGATTAGTTTTAATTTGTTCGACAATAAAATAACAAAAATAATGGACCGTTTAAAAATTATTTAGGTAAGTATGAAAACACTTCAATACGTCCTAACACTTTAAATAAGACCTCTAAAGACTTACTTCAAACGTTATTCTATTGCTTGTAACTACCTTCAAATGTATACGAATTTTCGTAAGAATACTATAAGTGACTAAAAAGTTATGATGAAATGTAGCTCTCCACGTTCACGATCACAATGTGCGCGGCCTTTTTAGGCCACCGATAAACCTGTGTGTGGATATATAAACTGAATGTTATGCCAATAATTAGTTGTTTAGTTCAGTTGTCTACCTGTAGAATTTCAGCGTCGTACATATAATAATTTACGAGATAATTAAATAAAAGTCATTAGAAGGTGCAAGTCCGTGGTAATCCTACCATGTTTAGGTGGTTACAAAAAAGCGATCACCCAGTACATTGGGCTGTCTTTTAAAGTGTTTAGTGTAATACACCTTACGATTTCGGTACAGTTGCGTACAGTGTTAAATACATTCAATATTTATTCATTATTATTACCTATTATTTATTTTGTTTTTTTCCTTAATTGATCTTAAGCACTAGTTTCTTTACTTAAAATTTCTTTAGTCTTTTTTACTACCGGAGCTACAATCAACAGAAAATCTGCACTGGTCCGCTAAAATTATAAATATGTAGATACATGTATGAACGATTCACCTGACTGCAATAAATCGAAAATTTAAACCAATAAGAAATCGTTTCATTTCTTTGATTTTTTTTTGTAAAGAAATAACACTAAAGTACTTGTATTTTATTTTGGGGTGTATAGAGCTTAGACTTGAATGCATCAAAATATTTAAAGCAACAAGTCATCTACAATAAGTTAAAATAGACCGAATAGTAGAAGAATACAGTTGTAAATTAGAATGCATCAACATTGCATCGCCCAACAGTCGTATACCTCGTAAGAGTAGGTAATATTGTTCTGTGGTCTATACCGAGAACCGAGAATTATCTATACCTATGTACCTACCGTTAAGCGTTGAGCCCGTGACTGTTGATTTCTGTTAAAAACGAACAGTTGTTGAATGATATTTTGATATAATAACGGTAATTTAATTTATCGAGTGAAAGTGATACATTTTTATAGATAAAATTATTGGTCAGATAATATTTGTCAATCAAGAATCGCTGATAATACATTCTTCGCTAGAACGCGGGAGGGGAGGGGCGAAGGGATACTTTATTGTTTGCAATTTGCATCTAGTGCACTAAACTTGACCCTTAGGCAGATAATATACGTGTTGTAAAGTACGTGTGCGCTTCCGCTTTCTATTTTTGCAAATATTTATCGTATTCTTGAGAGTTCTTCAATATGTGTGTACCTTATTACTAATAATGGGCATTAATGCTAATTCGATTCAATTTAAGTAATTGTCAATTCTTGTCTTAGGATATTAATTACTAATGCTAATATTGAAATTTTGTTCAGGGTGAACAAATTAAAAACGATCATAACTTGTAGGTAGGTATATCACTTATTACTAATTTTACATAAATAATTTATTTTATTATAATTTAACTCACCGCGATTTTGTGATCAAATATTTTATTTTCTCCAACATTATTACAGAAATATTGCAATACAGAGTTTGCGATATGCTAGCCTAAGTCGATTCATCACTTAAAAAAATCCCCATCTATTCACAAAATACCTATTTACAACGCATACGTTACACTCTTCAAAACTTAAATTACCTATACCTACCTTAAAATTAAACTTCAAATAACAAATACTACGCAGGTACCAATTCGATGAACAACTATAAACAATTCACCTAAACATTACGAGAAAACAAAAGCATTCAAAACAATACCTAATCTCCCGGCTGATTACTAATTATGCAATAAACAATCCTAAATAAAAATTATTTAAAAAACATGTAGTTTTTTGTAACACTTATGTACATATCCGTAGTAAACTTACAAATAATATCCTACATATTTTAAAAGCCAGCACAATGTACTGGGTGATCGCTTTTTTGTAACCACCTAAACATGGTCGGGTTACCACGGTCTTGCACCTTCTAATGACTTTTATTTAATTATCTCGTTAATTATTATATGTACGACGCTGAAATTTTACAGGTAGACAACTGAACTAAACAACTAATTATTGGCATAACATTCAGTTTATATATCCTTACACAGGTTTATCGGTGGCCAAAAAAGGCCGCACACATTGTGATCGTGAACGTGGAGAGCTACATTTCATCATAACTTTTTAGTCACTTATAGTATTCTTACGAAAATTCGTATACATTTGAAGGTAGTTACAAGCAATAGAATAACGTTTGAAGTAAGTCTTTAGAGGTCTTATTTAAAGTGTTAGGACGTATTGAAGTGTTTTCATACTTACCTAAATAATTTTTAAACGGTCCATTATTTTTGTTATTTTATTGTCGAACAAATTAAAACTAATCCTTAAGAAGTTATGTACAAAAGATGCTTACAATCCGCTTACCCGTTTCAGAGATCCAGCAAACCCACAAACGTTACTCCAGCAGGATTTCGAATAACTTCGCAGCCGAAGAAAATACAAATACCAAATAAGTTGTAACATTTACCTAGTCCAGATAACTAATTATCTAGCTAAAATTTATTTCAATATTACAATTAAAAAAGAAAATGTCTGGCTGCGGTAACGTTTCAAACGTTACCCCAGCAGGAAATGTTTTTTTGAAATAACTAAAAAAGTTTAAGTGAAACAAATTTAAAAATGTGCCTAACAATTACAGAAGGGGAGCAACTAATTATCTATAAAGTTTAAATGACCATTTTCGACATTATTTTGCTGGGGTAACGCACACGACCCTGGCAGGGCCACCATCAAGGTTTTAATTTTGATAAAAATTTGTGAATCACTTATTCAAAACTAATAAGCGTTTATAGGGGGCCCTACTAGTTATTCTCCCCAACAGTGCTTGCATGTCAAAAACTAGGACACCTAGCGAAGATCTGTTTCCTCCCCACTTTAGTCGCTAATAAAAAACTGAAGTTAAAAAAATGTAGGTATAATTGGAGGCCGTCATGCACTGTATCATATAAAGGTGAAGCTGTCGTTTTTTAAATTATCTCTTACGTAATTGAAATACCTACCGTATTAAAATAGCACTGCAACTAAAAAGAGTAAAAAGCCACAATACAATTATGTGTGTGATACTATGATCTTAGCCACATAAATCATTAACCTTCTTTTCTTTAATAAAATAGATAACCTTTTTAGTCTGCTCATTAAGTGGAAAATGAATCTGACTGACTAAAACACCACCAAATGCGTTAAACAAGGTGTGAAGTATGTATGTATGTGAAAAAGTGTCGGCGGGTAGGCAGGTACCATACGACTTTGTAAAATGGTCCTTGCATGTCTTAGTATGTCATCATTACTATGCACTTTAATCATTGTACTCGTATTCTCTTACGGCTAAACGTAAACAGACAAGCGGACCAGTGGCCAGCAACAAACAGTTTTCAGACATGGTAGAGACTTGCCACATACGTATGCCACTTGCCGCTACGAGCTACACAAGATGCCCCAATTTCTTAAGCTGACCTACATTCTTATCAACAGCCTTTAATAGTCCACTGCTGGACATAGGCATCTCTTTAGAAAGGAGATGTTGGTGTACTATACCACGCAGACGGGTTGGTATAGGGTTTGTGTCAAGTGGCAGACTATTTAGAGGAGCGTACCGTCGTGTACGAGGACCGAGAGGGTAATTTGAGGTGTCGGCCCATGTCGTGCGGTGTTCCACAGGGGTCTGTTCTTGGACCCCTCTTGTGGAACATAGGGTACGACTGGGCCCTTCGAGCCGATTTCCTCCCCGGGCTGGGTGTAATTTGTTACGCAGATGATACTCTGGTGACAGCCCCGGGGGCGAACTTCCAAGAGGCGGCGCGCCTGGCCACAAGGGGAGTCTCCCTGGTGGTCGGGCGCATTGAGGCGCTGGGCTTACGGGTGGCCCTAGATAAGACGGAGGCCCTGTTATTTCATGGGCCCCGTCGTGGTCCACCCCCTGGC